GTTCAGTTCAAATTCAGTTCAATTCAGTTCAATTCAGTTCAGTTCAGTTCAGCTCAGTTCAGTAAATATGAACAGGCCCTAAGGGAATATACACTACTCCGTATCTATTTGTTAGTCTGTTACATCCACCTTGTTTAAAAAGGTATCCTTCTTCAAAAAAAGAAAAAGAAAATGTATCCCAGTTACCCAATCCGAAATTGTGTTCTTCAAAGTTCGAATTTTAGCTCATTGTCATTTCGTTTTTCTCACAAATCTCTACCGGAAAAATGAAAACATTACTAGTCAACTACCAAACCTACAAAATATCAACTCGCACTATAAGTCTATAAATAGTTCGTATACTACATTATTAGATGATATACTTATAAAATACTAAAAAGTGTATCCTACCTTTTAAAAGGTACTCCCTCCGTTTTTAAATACTTGCTCCATTTCTTCATAAAATACGAGTACTAAAAAGTGTATCCTACCTTTTAAAAGGTACTCCGTATGAGAAAACACTTATGGAAAATTTGTCAAAAATAATACAAACTTTCAACAATCCGCTAAAAACAAGTTAAACTATTGATTATTTCTAAATAATACATACTTTGAGAGGTTTCCGCCTAAAACAAGTTGTAATAGGTTAGTGACTTGATTAGAAGTTATATGGGACACATGTCAAAATTTTATTGGTTTAGCACTTTAAATCTGATTTTTAATTTATTTATTTTATGTTTTTTTATTTTTAAAAGATTATTATAAATAATAATATTATTTTTTAAAAAAAACCATTCACACCCAACCCAGCCACGCTGCCAACCTTCCCCTGCCCTCCGGCACCGGTCATGCCTAGATCCACTTTCCCCCGACGTCGGCGCCGACCCTTTCTCCTCTGTCGTGGGACGCCCCCCCTTCCCTCTTCCCCCTAACCACTAACTCTCCACGAAACTACCATTCTTCTGCCCACAAAACCCCCTAAAACCCATCTCCCACACCTTTGAAAACTGTAATCGGAACCCTAGAGATGGTGGGGAAGGTCCGGTGAGAGTTTTTCGGTGGTGGGGGGATATTTTTGAGGGGTTTCGTGGGGAAGGAGAAAGATTTCGGGGAGAGGGTCGAATTGTTGGTTAAGGGGAAGTAGGAAATGTGTACGCCTGATGAGGGGGGAGGGGTCAGCGTCGGGATCGGAGACGATGTGTTCAGAAGCGGCCGGCCGGCGCCGGAATTGTTAAACATAGTTAAACTATTAAACGAAGTTATTAAAAAAAAATTTAAATAAATTGACCGGTCATTAAGGTTACAGGTTAAATATCTTGTTTAAACCGAAAACCTCCCAAAGTTTGTATTATTTAGAAATAATCAAAAGTTTGACTTTTTTTTAGCGTATCGCTCAAAGTTTGTATTATTTTTGACAATTTTTCAAAATAGTGTAAAGATAATTATATCTTAGAAATGTTTGTTTATCTTTATTCCCCATATCGATATTTCATACCTTTGAGGCGTTTGGTTCGCAGAGTGGTATGAGTTTGGAATCAAGAATTAAGTTAAAGTGATATTGGGTTGGAACTAATACCATACCATGTGTTTGGTTCAATTTTAGAATGGAATCTCTCGCAAATTCTTCTATTTGAACATTTAGTAAAAAGATCTTAACAATTGCAAATTTTGAACATTTAGTAAAAAAATTCGAACATTGCAAGTTTTGAATATTTAGTAAAAATATCCGAGCAATCGCATTGTACCACGCCTATACTTTTGAACATTTAGTAAAAAAAATTTGAGTACAAAATTCAAACATCGCAAATTTTGAAAATTTAGTAAAAATATTTGAACAATTGTAATGTACCACACGTATACTTTTGAAAATTTAGTAAAAAAAATTTGAACAATTGCAAATTTTGAACATTTAATATAAAAAAAATTTGAATGCTAAACCACCCCTATACTTTTGAAACTTGGAAAAGTATGGTATAGAACGGACTCATGTGAGTCCAATCATATAAAAAAAAAATTATTTGTTAGAAATTCCATAATAATGGTTAGATATTAGATAATAAGTGTCAGAAATTAGATAATTAGTGTCAGATAATATTGGTTAGGTATTAGATAATAAGTATCAAAAGTTAGATAATATTGGTCAGATATTATATACTCTGTAATAAGTATCATAAATTAGATAATATGTGTTAGAAATCTAATATATATAAATAAAGTAGGCATTTTTCGGGAGCATTTGACGCGCCTCGTAATAAAAGGTATTATTTCGTCCAATGATAAATTAGATTTGTATTTTAATTTTGAATAAAAAAAATTGTATCGCCACGTAGGTAAAAGTAGCGAATAAGATATGGTATTTAAAATTTTGATGGCACGTGGATGAAAAACTTAATGTCATGTATATTAAAAACCACAAATTTTATTTATCATTATCTTTATTTATCTCCACTTTAATAATGCAACCGAATCAAAATTATCTTATAAATGATTTTTTATTTTTATTTTTTATTTTTTTTACCATTAAAGTATAATAAGTATGATAATTCCACTTTAATACTAATCACTTCCGGTCAAATAAAAATTTAAGGGAAAATTATCTAGCTTGTGACACTATATCACAAATACTAAATAATACCTCTGAAAAAAATTATATTTATATGATAAAGTATCATTATAAGATAAATTTTGATAGTGTTTATGATAAGAAATTAAAATTGTTCATTAACCATAATTCATATTTATACAAAATTCATATTTATACAATATACGACATATCAAGATAAATTTTGATAGTGTTTATGATAAGAAATTATAAATTGACACATTATACGACACCAACAAAATTTCATATTTATACAAAATTCATATCTAGAAAATTTTGTATTAGTAATTTTGTGTCAGTTTTAGGTCATCAATGGTAGGGTACTTTTTAGCTTAATTTCATATGTTTATGTTTTGTTTGATGAATTTCGTTTTACATGCAGATCAGAGATTTAAATTCGAGCAAAAATGATTAAAAATTCAAAGTACGAGTTTTTCACCTGTTTGATGTACTAAATTTCCGCAAACAAAATAGCTTAATAAGTCTGGATATGGTAATATTGGACGAAGAGGTATTTTTAAAAACAAATATTGTGATTTGGATTGCATAATCAACTTATTAAATTAATTTAATTTCTTATTTTTAATTTCAGGATGATTACACAAGTTCATGCCTCAATTTAAAGCCAATTGTGTTGAACATTTTCGTCCAAACTTGAATGAAGACTATGAAATGTTTACTATATTAGAAACTTTTCAGTCGTTCCAAATAATAAGCAATATCGCGTTGTGATATCGACAACAAAATAATGATTCAATAATTAATGATGAAAAAAATTCCAATGCATAGATTTGATTTTATACATTTACAATTTTTAGATCTATTCCGCAACAATTATATCGATATTTATTATTAGGTTTTAATAATATTCTTACATATATTTATGTGTATCTAATAAATTTTTTTTTTTACATTTTGCTTATGTGTATTTTTTAACGTTCTTATTAAAATATTTATTAGGAAAAACGAGTTTATGTAAAGATTTGGAATAATATTTTTGTTGAGCATACGAAACAAAAAAAATCAACATAAGTTTGTTTTTTTAAAAAAATTATTCTTATTCATTAGTCAAGTATGCAAAACTTGAATTTGTTAAATTGAAATAAACTATGAAAATATTATCTCATTCGTCGGGTGGTTAAATAAAATCATTTAGATCGATCAAAAGATTTTTTTTTAATTTTATTAAAAAAAAATTAATTTTTTTAATTATTTTTTTAAATATTCTACTTCTAATATAAAAGATAATAAGAAATTACAAAATAATATACAAAATAAAATACAAAAAAACCGTGCATCGCACGGGCTTACATCTAGTTAGATAATATTGGTGAGGTATTAAATAATAAATATCATAAATTAGATAATATTGGTCAGATATTACATAATAAAAACCTTATTAGCAGTTAGAAGCAAATTCATACAAAACAAATTGAAAACCTAAAAAACTGCAGAGAATATAAACCAATACAAATCGGAAATGAATGCATGAAATAGCAGTTATAGCAGAAAAAAGAAGAGAGAAAAAGCCTGGAAAGTGAAGGAAATGGTACGGTGAAGATGAGAAGAAAAGCAGCAACGATGAGAATGTAAAGCCATCGACGTTCAGAAGGTCGTCGGCACCTGGGAGGGAGAAGGTCACCGGCTGCCGACAGGAGCTAGGAAATAACAGAGCTGATAGTGGATAGGGGATGAGACTATGATTATAAACCGAACTCATGTGAAACGGATTCACACAAAACCTTCTCTTTGGTCGATTATTCTAGATGAGTTAGGTGCACAATAGATTTATTAAACCAAACACCTTAAAAAGTATCCATACCTTTTAACCTTTAAATGCCTCTAAGTATTTCATTATGTAAGTTTATAATTTGACTTTTATGGGTAGTATTTGAACAATTATCCATTTAAAATATTTTAGTACTTTTTTCCCCTTATTAATGTTAATTGACCCTAAAAATTTGTTTACATATGTTGCCAATAATTTTTTTTTAAAAAAAGCTACCTTGGACATGACTAGTTACCATAGTAAAATGCAAAAAGTTGAAAATAAAAATCAAAGTAACCTAAATACGAGTATTTGAAAAATAAAAGGGTTATATGTAGCCCTAAGGGCTATATATAAGCATTAAATACACTCTTGAAAATTGTATAAAATTAGAAATTCATGACAAAAACACGCGTAAATCAGCGTAATTAGTGTTTATATTTTGATGATTTCTTAACTTTTTACGATTTTCAAGTGTAAAATACGAAATAGTCAAAATTGCGCGAATACAATTATACAAGTGTCCATTCCAAATTTCCAAACCCATTGAAAGTGCTAAGTCAAAAATAATCAATTTTTTTTTTAAAAAAAATAAAAAAATTCCACGTAGTTTCTAAACTGACACATCTACTCCTCCAATATTGACGCAATTTTATATTTATCGCTGAACAAAATTCTAATTTCTCTTTCTCTCTCCTCTCAATAACATAACAAAAATACAAGAGAGGGAAGCAAAGCTAAAGCGTCAGCTCTAACGATACCGCCGATATTGTCACTCGCTTTCTATCTCCTCTACTATACTTCTCCGACGATTTTTCAATTTATCAGGTTTTTTAATTACTACCTTTTCTTCATATTTATGTTTAATTTCTTTATTTTTTTTTTCTATTTGCGTATTTCTTGATTGAATTTGCAGGTTGTAGCAGATTTTTGGTTTGATTTATACCTGTTTTTTCTTTTGTTTTTAGGTTTTGATTTTGTTTTTGGTTTATCTGATTTGATTAGCGGAATTATTTTGATGATTTTGATGTAATTTTGGTTTGAGGAGATAAGGTTTTGCTGACTTGATTGTTTTTTAGCAAGAAATTTCTAAATTTGTCCGAGTTTTTCAGATGATGATTGACTAGTCTAATCTTTTTTTTTTTGGCTGTTATTAATTTAATTTTCTGTTTTTTCTGATGTATCAGTTTGTTGTGTATGATCTTTGTTCTTGCTCAATGATTGAAATTAATAAGCTAAAGTTTGAGTAATTGGTACAATTGTGTGATTAAATTATTGCGTCTTTGGATTAGTCTACTGAAACTATAATTTAGGGATTCTTCAGTATTGTTACGAGTTTTTCACGTTTGGTTTTGAGACTTCGAAAGTTTAATGATACAATCAATTTGTAGTTGTATCATGAACTTATAAGTTATCATTCAAATGTTATTTTTAGTTTCGGAAAAGGCTTGCAATGACGATTGACAAACCCTTGTTGTCCTGGCAATGTGTTAAGGTAGAGGAGTGAGGACACACTCACAGTCAATTTAATTATTAGTTGTTGTTTCGGTTGTTGTTTGTAACTTGTAAACTATTAAAACGACTTGGATACCGCAAAGAAAAGAATTAAGCGGTGACAGCATTGGCACTAGTTACATTACTCACTCTTGGTTAGAAGTGTTGGACACGAGTATGTGTCCAAGTGTCAGCGAAGGCCATTTCCTGAAAAGTTTGCATGGCTTTACTCTTAAATGGAGCGTCTATGAGGCAAATCCATGTTTTAGTATTGAGTATTGTTAAACTAATAAGTATCAAATATGGGTACTTTACTTAGGTGAAATGAAGGAACGAAGTAAATAAGTTAATAACTGTTTCAAAATCAATGTTTGACTTTGATGGTCTAGTTAGTTTTTGAGTTCTATGTGAATAAGTTTAGCATTATATAGTACCCAGGGTTCCTTTCAAAAAAATAAAAATTTAAAAATACTTAAGAGATATAATAAGAAAGTGAAAGTAGAAAAGATGATTAAAGTTGACCGTGTTTTTGATAAAAGTGAACTTGTGTCCTGATCTATTAAATGGATAATTGTCAAACAAGTTAGTAGTAATGTCGATCGCTAAGAAGTATTAATTTGAGAAAATACTTGTGAAATGGAAGTTATTGCTTGCTCAAGGAATATTTGCATGTTTGACGGGTAATGACATGCCTCATCTCCATGATGGGGTGCTCCTAGGAGCTAGTGTGATCTTTTGACTGTGTATTGGTTCTCCTCTGGCTCATTGGCTCTTACACTTAGCACTGTACATGGCATACCAGTATGTCATTGTGTAAATCACTTTGGTAATGGAGCTCTTAGCAGCGCATAGCCTTGATTCATAAATCTATAGGTGGGCTTTCAAAAACACGATAAGTTCTGGTTGGTCCTACAATGATCAACATGATTATGGGTTTCAGATTCCTCAAATTATTCTTCCTCTAATTTTCAGATAGAATATGGAGGGGAACCATTGAAACCACCGACATTTAATATGAGATTCTTCCAGCGGAATCATTTCTCTTTATGGAATCGTTTTTGTTCACGTGACATTAGCATTATCTTGTCAAGTTGTCAAGCAACTCTTCAGCTACATGTTGTAGCTAATTAATTCTTAGAGACTTAGACAGCAGGCATAATAGACTATACATTACATTTTAGCCAAAAAAAAAAAAGAGTCAAATCCTCATATAATAAAAGGATTAATGAAGATTTATAGTGCTAGTATGAAGGAATGTGGATGAGGTATAACGTAGGATTGTATTTTTTTATTAATGTTTTTAATGATTTTCTGTTAAATCAGAATATATTTATACATAATGAAAAAATAAATTTTTTGATTGTTGAGTAGCTTCATAGCCTTAAAATGTCAAAGTATCCTGGCATCTGTTCTGCACTTTATCATGGATTTTAAAATTTGTAGGGTTTATAGATCTGATCTTTTCGGATGTGCATACTATGATGAATGTCTTATGCTGCTGAGTCTTGATGATGCTTAATTTGTGTATGTGCTGCCCCCTTCTGCTTTTCCTCACGCAATGTAGTGTGGGAGTAAGATTATATACATCTTAACCTCTTTGGATATAGCCTCTGGCGGAAATTGCTCCGGGATGCTGCTGTTATTCTTCTCTTAATGCATTATTTAAATTTGTGCGTGAAATGTATTCTTTTGTGCAGGGAGACGACTAGAGATGCTCCAGGTGTATATAATTTTAAGTGGATAATAAAGTATACGTGAGAGAATGGGAGGTTGTTGCTGTTGCTGCTTTTCGTCTAGAAGATCTGAACCAGTTAGGACCCCGACTTATTATTATGTAAGAAATTTCATCCTGAATACAACTCCCCTATAAAAGAATTGGACCATTGTTTTTTTTTTTCTTTAAAAAAAATAAATTAAAATTGGCAGTTCCAATTCATAATTATAGGTCTCCTATCTAGTTCTGTCATCGTCTAGGGAGGAAATCAGAATGAGCTAATAATGCAATTCAAGCCTGATGCATCAGCATAACTTTAACAATGTTGTCATCTTTTGGTTAGAGTATTATATGCTATGCTGTAGTTCAATAAGATGGAAATGTCATAGTTTGTGACTGTTGGAGTACTTATTGTAGACAGTAATTCTGCTAGTACTAGCTAGTTCATTGTATCATAATTTTGTATTTATTAATTTGTTTTAAATCTACACAGTGCACTTTAACAGCTCCTTTAATTTGTGCAAGTAACTGGGTTAAAATTTTGCTGGCATTATGCAATATAGTTTGTGTTTAAGATTCAGAGTCAAATTTCTTTTTGGGTGGAATTGTGTGACATGTGAACTCACAAGTTTTTAAAAGATTATTGAAACTCTGGGAGAATCACGTTCAGGTTCCATAAAACATCCAATTATTAGTTTGTTAAGAAGTTGATGACTCAGCAAACTGGTGACTAGATGAACCTCTGATGTATGAATTAGCACCAGCTGTCCAGCTGATGATTGAGAGGGCACCGTCTTGTGCAGTTATTTTTCTATTTATTTGGGGAAGGGGGTAAACAGGTGCTACATTTTAAGTTTGTGCTTTGTTGGTCACTATCGTGGTTAAACTGTGAACTCTGTGACTTAGGCCTAATTAGCAGTCTCTGTAGTTGTCGTGCCCTTGTCCTGTCTTTTTGTACATTCTTTTTAAGAAAAAAAATACAAATCCAAATAATTTAGAAAAATTCTTGAATACGGTAAAATTTTTGCAAGCAAATCCTGTTGAAAAGAGAATATCAAAATACTCATGGTGACTAACACTCTCGTGTTGTGATGTGGAAGATATGTGTCCTAGGATAGAGAACATATTTTGGGTTTGATGAAGAATAGGCAGCTAGAGCTCAAGTAAGCTACAATGAGGCATGCTAATATGAATATAGAATTTACAAAGCTGTTAATGAACGGGGTGATAATTACAGTGGAAGCCTTTTGTAACTATGATTTGTTACTAAAATCATGGGGTATTCTTGCTTTCAGATGAGTCCCAAACTGTCTTAAGTTCTTCTAATATGCCCCCATCCAGCCATATTTACTATCTTTACCTGGATCGATGATGTTGTATGTTTTGAGCACGGTGACCTTCTGTAGCTCTAGGTGATATACTTTTTTGCTTTGGAAAGAAGAAAGTTAGCTTGTTCTCATAAGAAAATATTTATCTATGGTGTTAATTTATTGCTAGTGTATGTAATTATTTGACAAGCCCAGCTACAGTCAAGTCCATGGCCTAGTACTTCTGTATTTATAATATGAATAGGAACAATTACTCGATGACCCTGATATAAATATAGACAATCTCTCTCACCACCTCTACAAATTACACTTTAGAGGTTCCTGAAGAATATATATTGGTTTAAAGTCCATCATTCCTAGTTCAAAATTCCTATTTGTTATCTTGGTCATGTCAGATTTTCTCTTTCGGAGTCATTAAAATGCTCAAATACTATTGCAATTTTGACGTCTGGAGCAATATGTGCAGGTTGCTTAATCTTTACCTATATCAATATAATGTAGTAACCTTTGAAATTTTATTTCAACAATTTCAACTTTCTTCAGTGCCCCAGGACGTCTGAGGAGCGTGAACCCTTGTCAGCTAACCGTGGAATACCTCCCGGACTGGCAGGAGGACTGCTGGTTGATACCAATTTAGACACATCAAGTCCAGATACATATACTCCACCTCCGGCTCCTATTCCTTATGATGTTGATTTAGGACGTCCTCGAACCCCACATGGTAGAGAGAATCATCTTACCAAGACTGACACAACAAGTGAAATAGCAAATTCTGGTTCTGAGGAAGGACAGAACAATGCTGATTCTTCAGAAAATCAAGAGAAGAGAGAAATAGACGAGAAAACAAAATCTGTCGTGGAACTTACCTTATCTGAGGATTCTGAAGATGATCTTAAGAAGCCGATCGAACAGAATCTTACAATCATAGAAGAAGAAGATTGTCCTATATGCCTCGAAGGTAACAACTGCATGTAGCTCTTTCATTTTTACTTCCTTTCTTGTAATGGATTTTATATATGGGCTGGAAGCTGAGTTAAGAGTAATTGTACGTAAAGAACTAAAGGTTGAAAGAAAGAGGGAGGGGGAGGGAAATGTAATATCTAAACTACTGTAAGTCTGTAATACTGAAGGGAAGTGTGAAATCAGTTGGGGGACATTTCATAATGGAGTGTGAAGCTCATTATACGTAGAATGTTGGGAGTATTAAAAATTTAAAGTCAACAGATGATGATATCAGCCTTTTTGTTGAGTGTTGACTTTCATTTCTTTCTATATGTAGCGTTTTAAGCTTGTGTTATCTCTGATCTTGTTAATGAATCAGGTTTTATTTAAATGTCACCAACATTCCTGTTGCTGGTTTTGTTTGCAGAGTACACAGAAGAGAATCCAAAGATGCTTACTAAATGCGAGCATCATTTTCATCTTTGCTGCATTCTAGAATGGATGGAAAGAAGTGAAACTTGCCCAGTGTGTGATAAGGTCTATTACTGCATACCCTTCAGATTAATAATAGACTAGATTGATCTACCTTCAGTTCCTATTTTATCTTACAATTCTCTTAATTATGATGCAGGAAATGGTGTTTGATGAAGATTTTAATATTTAGCCTTGATGCAAGCTCGAGTGTTTAACTTTCTTTCTTGTTGTTGAGGCCTTGTCGGTAGAATGATCTGTTTTGTGTTGCAATTGCAAGTAAGCTTCCACCTGACATGGGTGATTGTAATTAGACAATTCAATGTCATGAGAGTGATGAGCATATCTCTAGGCATCTGTCAAACTAGTAGAATTTATAAACAGAGAAGGTAAAAAGGGAAAGAAAAAACAAAAACAAAAAGAGTGTTGGGGGAGGGGGTGGGTCTTCTAGGTTAGTTTTCCATAATAGCTCCTCGGTGTTGGCCTTGCTATTTGATTCGTGAATCGTTGGAGCTTCGATCATTTCAGTGACAAAACATGGTAGTAGGAAAAGGTTTAACATTTCGGTAGCATGCAGTACAATGCAGTTGGGGGATTGAATTCGGCATTACCGATTGCATTGTACTGTATGCTACTTTTATACTGGAAATACTGGCGGGAATAAGCAGGTTCTTTGTGTTCCCGTTATGTTGGTTTTCTATGTCATTTTTTACACACGTGTATAGGTCCGTTGAACAGAGTTTTAGGATTTTAATTTTTTTTTATTTTTTTATTTTTAGTTTTTATAATCTGTTCTTACAGTGTTTCTTACCTGAAGATTGGCTTTTTCTGCCGTGTGCTTCTTTTGATTGATTTTGCTGAATTTACAGAATCTATCCCTACTTTGGGAGATCAACATTCGGCAACAATAGTGCCTGATGTATTGTCATATTTGTCAACAAATGTTATATTTGACACGTTTTCTTTTCCAAGTTTTCCCATATTAATTCAATTTCATAGCCCACAAATACCATATGAAATTATATCAATTACGAGTAATATGTTCAAAGGTAGAACAGGATGTAATTAAGTTGGTTTTGGTTTGCTTCAATTTAGGTGAAAATTAATAACCTTAACGGAAGTTTAAAATGCATTTTTTGACCCAAATATTACATTTATTGCAAAAAATTAGGCAAAATATATTGGACCCGTTTTGAACCTGGATTCGGATTATAGACCTAGTCCAGATCCGACAATTCAAAGTCGACCCGTTGCCATTCCTAATGAGGCCTATGACAATTTAACTAACGGATTAACTCGCAAATTAGAGATGTGAATAGCTGATTCAAATCCAAATTTATAATTCAGAGGGAATTATTGTGATTGATACATATAGTAATGAATGTTTGTTTTCTGTTATGCTATGTGGCATTAAAATAAAGTCCTTATTCATTGATGATAATAATTGGCCTAAAAATATTAATGGCTGGTGGCATTCTCATCAATGTCATAAGTATCATTATGATGCATTCTCATTAGTACTCGTATAATTTTGTAACTTGATTTGTTCTAAATAAATCCTTAAAAGTCGTGAATAAGTGATAGCTAAAGTGAGAGTTAATTTCCTTAATTTACTTTTGACTTTTATTTTTTAACCAAATGCTCTAAATTGTTCCATTAAAGATGTGGGGTGTTGTATCTTGACAAAAAAAAAAAAAAAAAAAAAAAAAAAAAAAGAGTGTTGTCTTTAATCCTAACTTAATATGGAGTATTATGAATACTATAAGCTTATAATACATATGACGTTCATTCATTTACATGAGCTTTAAAAACCTAATTATTTATTAGTGTGCTACATGTAATAGGAGCTTTTTTCGGAGGAGGGTCTTCTAATGTTTTCTCTTTTTCTAGCCTTCATTAAATAAAAAAAATAAAAATCATAGTATGCTCCATCAATTCGATAATTAGGCCAATATGTTTTAGTTTTATGTTTGACATCGTTAGTTTAATACTACACCGCAATAGGAAAAACAGAAATCACCAATAAGGCATGATATTGGATAAATTTATACATTTATACTTATTCACCTTTATTTTTATTTTTTTCTTTTAAAAAGAATCTTGGCCTATACTTTACGCATTAGAATAATTACAGTTATAATTTTGTAAGGTTTAAATTGTATTTTATGTAATTTGTGGTCATGTTACAATATCAAAGAATGAAATATAAGAGCTTCAAGTACAAATTCTAAGGGCGTAGTCAACTACTTCGGATGGTTAGAGTCTTGGAGGATGAAATTTAAAACTTGAGATTAAATTAAAGTTCATCTACATGATTATATTGTTGCTAGAAAATGATAAATTGACGATTACTTTTTGAAATTGATTTTCTATTAAATTTTTTCCCCCTTTTAATTTAGCCTTTTGGTATCGAACTCATCTTCCAACTCCCTCTCAAGCAAACACCCCATTAGAGGCTCAGACTAGTCAATCCTTTATTTTGTGTTGTCCCAAACATTTCTCAACTAAACACCCAGTATTATGAAAAATATTATCAAATCACATCCTTTCAAGCAGGTCGACAATAATTTGGGGTTAACTTCAACATAAGTGACTTAAATTCGAAAGCCTTTAAAAATCACATACAATAGGTTTGTAGTCTAATCTACTGACCAATATCATCCTAAATAACATAATTACCTCCATAATTTTTTATACGAATACTATTTCTCATGTTAGATCATACATAATTTAGCGTTGTAAATGGTGATATTTACGAGACTTGAGGCGACTAATATATGTGCTACAAGTTTATCACCTTGATAAAACAAAAATTGCAAGTTAAATCACAGAACCGTAAGTAAATCAACGTATTTTCTTTAAATACAGGCCCACACTTATGACAAATATGGTAGGTTAATAAGATATTTTGTAGATTTATTTACAATTTTGTCATTTGATTTATTTTGTCTATTAATGTAATAAAGTAGGGCAGCCTCCTAAAACCGTTGTACTCTGTATTGTTTTTATATCATCCAATCTGATCTATTTTATGCAAGATTTGCTTAATCCGTATTATTACGAGTTTATCAAATCTTAAAACAATTATAAAATTGATCCAATCTTAAAATTAATGTGGATGATTTTTGTTATTTCATTCATTCCACCAAACCCTCATAATCAAAAACATAATTCCATATAATAATCCACGATCCCAAAAAAATATCTTATACTCCATCTCTCTTTGTCTTTATAAAACACAAAACCAAATTTTCTCAAAGTTCGAAAATCAAAATTATTTAGGGTTTCTTTCAAGCCCATCTTGTCTCTCCTAAAAAATTCCCTTTGAACCCTTAATTCGCACCATCATCTATATTCATATTGACCCAAAACAAACTACAAATTCTATATATTCATTTTTCTCCTTAATTATTCTATTTTCCCCCTTTAATTAAAATTTCATTTCCAGCTAATTTCTTGATGATGTCTTTCATACATTTCCAAAACCCCCATTTGTTCTAATCTTAGCTTCCTAAAATTCAGACGCCCACCTTCCTATTCTTTTCATTTTTCTCATACACTTTTTTATTTTATTTTATTTTATTTTAATTTTTAATATTTCCAGCGCTCAATTTAGTTCAGGTGGACTCAACTGGGAACAGAAGAAATGGGAGTTTGTTTGCATGTCCGAAGAACACATTGAGGTAATCAATTGACCTAAAAAGCTACAATCTTTGATGCCCATTTCAATTAATTTGATTAAAAATGTTGTGGGTTTGCCCTGTTATCAGTCATTGAACCTAAAATTAGAGAAACAGAGTGATTTTGATGGAGTTTTTGTAGTAAAGATCAAATCTTTTTGCTCTGTTCAATTCCCATATCAGCTTTTAGTATAGGCTTAATTGATTTGGGAGGAATTGAGATAGGAAAAGGGGGGAAATTCATGGCCGAATGGTTGATTTCCGATCACCGGGTTGAGGTGAATTGCACTGCGAATAGTGAGAGTTGTGAGCTAATTAATGGGTGTTTGTTCTCTAAGAGTGATGATGATGTTAAATGGGGTGATTGTGATGATAATTTGCGCGGTTTGTTTGATCAAGTTTTAATGGTTTTGTCAAGGGGTGTTTATGCCAATGGGAGTAGGCCGATTCCGGCATTGTTGGGGGACGGTCGAACTGTGGATTTATTCAAGCTATTCTGTTTAGTGAGAGATAGAGGCGGTTATCATTCGGTTTCGGAGGATAATTTGTGGGGCTTAATTGCTGAAAAGTTTGGATTTGAATGTACAATGTGTGGATCCCTTAAGTTGATTTATTACAAGTATTTGGATGAATTGGACCAATGGTTGAATAGAATTACTAGAGAAAAGGTTTCAGCAAATGGGAGTTTTGAGTGTGGAGGTAGTTTAGGGTTATTGTCATTAGAATTGGAGAAAAGGTTAAGGAATTTTTCAACAGATGAGAATGAGTTTACTATGGATAATAATGGCATTGGATATGATAAGATTTGCAAGAATGTCAAAGTCACTGTGAAGGAAACTTTGCATTTGCCAAATGCTGAAGAGGGAACCGAAGTGCATAACGTTGTGGTTAAGCTTGCTGTTGATGATGGGGATGGATTATGTAATAGTAAGGAGTTTATTGGAAAAACGAAGGAAGGTGCCATTGATGAAGATAGTTCTTTTCGCAAGAGGAAACGTGACATGTTTGGAGAATTGCTTGGTTGGATGATCAAAGTTGCAAGAAACCCTTGTCATCCGTCCATAGGAGTTTTATCAGGAAGCTCAAGATGGATGGAAAGTAGTCACAAGGATTTCTGCTCAATAGCACTTATGTTACGGGAAGCAAGACTGCGAAAAAGATATACTGATTCAAATGATCAGCAATCTCGTTTTCATCAGGTATAACTAGCCCCTTCTCCATTTGATTTAATTTTTTAGATGGTCAAATTATATGATTAAAAAATTTGTTGAAGCTAGATCTATCTATGTCATAGTTTTGATTGATGCATTTAATAAAACTTTTAGGTTATCAAAAGAATTAATGTACAACGATTATGTTGAAGATAATGATACCCACCTATAACGGATGGGTGATACACTGATATACAATGAGTCAATGATCAAGAAACTTAGGTGTATACTCGATAGGTATTGATGTTAACAGAATATTGGACTTATATGTTTGAATATATGTCCAATTTCCATCTAGTTTGTTCTTTCGAGACATAAACTGCCACTTTTGAGTTTTGATAAGCGGACTTTTAAGATAGTTGATCACATCAACATGAAAAGATGAGAAATGGTTTTCATGTGTAATAAAAGTTCTAGTATGAGTAGTTTCTAATGATATCATACATTTATGGAATTGAAATGTTAAAAGATTTGAGAGTTTCTTCAAAGAGGCAGAATATTTAGTATCATATCAGGGAGTCACTGAAGTTGGTTGATGCTTTCTCACTTGAATGGTTTAACATCACGCATCTGATTAGTCATGTACTCATATCAATAGAAAGATCAAAGGGATTATAATTAGAGTAAGTTTGAATGAGTTATCGAAGAGGGAAGAGGCAACTATATCACTTTATTAATAGCATCGTGTAATTTGTATCTAAGTTATTTTTTATTTGATCAATGTTAAAACGATGCTTAATCAATATTATTTGAAATGTTTTGGGAGGCTTTAAAAGAGAATCTTGCGAAAGCAGTCAAACAGGTAGAATTTTGACATTATTGCTATGTCATAGATTTGTCTCTTTCTTGAAATGTCTATCTCAGTGAATGATTTTATAGGAATTTTTTGGCACCACGAAGGGTGATACTGGAAGGGATTGATTATTTAGGCATATAGCATGCAGGGTACAACTAGATATGAGTCAAGTTGAGCTGATTTCTAGTTTGTTCGAGCTAAACTTGATGAAGATTATTAGTTTTCGAGCTTAGTCGAGATTGAATGAGATTTGGAATTCTAGCTTAAGC